TTTAATTATAGAAGCAAATGGTGGGGATACATCACAGTGTGTACGACATAAAAAGAGGGAGACACCCACCAGGGAAGGCCATTCCTTCATTTACTGCCCCATTTCTCACGTGRTGGACTCCCCAGCGTGCCATGGGCACCTAATGAACACCTGCGAAAACRGGTTCTTGCCTCTCTTTGCGGAGCTGAGGGCTCCTCAGGGACTAGCTGGCCCAGCTGACCTTCTGGTGGGGTCACTGCAGGTAGCTTTCCTCGCCTTGGCCATGACGAAGAGCCCGCTGTCAGAGCAGGACAAGAGCACGCAAGGATGCAGCCTCGGGGATCSGTAACCGAGAGGAGCCCTTCCACGGGACCCAGGGAAATCGGGACACASTCAGATAACCACGTCACGAGGTGTTTGGTGATGAGAAGGGAAGTCACGGGCTGGGAGCCGCACTCTCTTATGTGTTAGTAAGAATTTCATGGGATGCRGAGCAACGTCTATCCCCACTGTCATTGCTAAGACACTGACCCCTTGCTGCACATGCCGGCTGCGTGCCAAGCCCCTTAACTGTAATGTCGTGTTTATGTCACTCACGGTCCCTACGGGCCGACCTGCCGCAGAGGGTTCACTCTTCCGATAGCCACGTCCTTTATGTAAACGCAGTCTGCCAGAAGCCTGGAAGCTGTTGAGAGCTGGATTTCTCCCAATCTCGGCCCTTTTATCCTCACAGACAGAAATTCAGTTTAGAAATCTTTCCCAGACCTCCTCTTTTAATTCCCAAAGTCAGTTCCCAGATGACTACACCCAAGCTTCTCCAGCTCAGCTCGGTTCTCTGTGAAACCTCAGGGTCCATGGCTCCTGCACCTGGGCCCCYACAGGCCAGCATGCGAGCTGGCCCACGTCCAGCCCCTTAGAGCCATCTGCTGACCRTCCCCACTCGGCTTCCCAGGGGGGCCTTCCTGTGTGTGCCCTCCCTCGGTGTGGGAGAAAATCCAGTTCCACCTGTCCCTGAAGATGACCTCTGGGCTAGTCCACCATCCCTAATGACCCTCATGTAACTCACCCCATCTTTTCAAAGAAAGAAGGAAATAACTCAGCTCTGAATTGAAGGAGCTCWTGAGCTTCAATACGCCCTCCCAAGCCAACGGCCCACGATCATGGTATGAAAATAAGTTTTACGTCTGGTATTTGATTTGCCACATAGTTTAACAGAAAAGTAACTTTGTCTATTTTTTTCCAATTAAAGGAAGTAATGTTACAATCAATAATTCCTCTACTCTGCTTTGGTAAATTAATGTCTGCCTATTGTTTTTAAATCACAAAGTGAACATTGCTATAGAAATGTAAAATGGTACTATTTCATTTTAATCTATTTAATTTTCCATTCTTGAATTACATAATGGGGTTAAAGCATTGAATAGAATTAATAGAATGAGTATTTAATTAAGCAATAATGAGTTTCTAAATGGATGCTCAAAGAAACTAGCTTTATAGTTTATGCAAGAATCAGATAATGGTCTTAACAAAGACCATAATAATTGTGTTGAATGTTTTCTATATTTAAAGATTTTTGGTTTGTTTTTTTTTTTTTTCTGAATTCTCTCAGGAGTAGATTTAAACAAACCCAATTCCCTGATTAGGCTCCACTTTGCTTTCAAGGTAGATTCTGAGTGTCTTTCCCAGCCATCCAGTCCCTGCACTAGAGATGCCATAGGCCACCTCTGCCTCCTGACATCAAGCATCCCCCATGGTCCCCCGCATTCCACCCGGACCCCCCTTCCTTCTGCTCTGTGAACACACAGGCCCTCCTGCCACCCGGCCTCCGCTCCTGCCACCCAGCCTCCGCTCTGCCGGTCCAGATGCCTCGAAGGCTCTCCCCTCCTCCCCTCCTAACTCCTCCTCTTCTTTCAGTTCTCGAAGAATTTTCCCGATGATTCTTCTCTAACCAGGTCGGGCACCTGCCCCCACCAACACACTGTACAGACCCCTCGAGAACCCTGTGATTCTTCCTGAGCAGTGAACACAGTCTGCAATTATCTATTAGTTCATACCTGTCTCTCCTTCCAGCCCATAATCTGCCTGAGAAAATACACCACATCTGCTTTATTTACTAGTGTATCCCTAGATGGATGGATGGATGGATGGATGGATAGACAGATGGATGGACAGATAGAAAATGGATAAATGATGGATGAATGGATGGAGGATGGATAGATGGATGGACAGATGAATGGATGGATGGATGGATGGATGGATGGATGGATGGATGGATGATGGATGACGGCATGGATGATATGTAAATATGCCGACAGACCCGTTACTACCTCTAAGGACACATGAGGGCCATGGTACACCCTTCTGAGATTTCCTAGAACATTGCCACCTTGTGTTCTCTGCCAGCCCCTTTGGTCGGTGCTACAGACATGAAAACCTGTGTCCTGGGAGCAGCTGCCCAGGAGGGTCTCACAAACAGGGCTGGACTTTGGTTTAATCAAGTGGCTGGCTCACCCGTTCGCCAGCTCTTCAGGCCCAGTGGTGTTGGGCGCCAGCCTGTGTGCTGTTGAGGCTGACAGGTCATCAGGCACCATGACCCACTACTAGGTCCCTCACACCACAAAAATGTGACTTTTAAAGCCCATGAAAATCTATCACAGTAGGAGGGGCCAGTGAGCGCGAACGGCCTGGGGTCAGAGTCAGCTCTGCAGGCGCTGTCCTGGAGAGCAGGGTGACCAGCCCCCGCTGCCCTCGAGCATCAGTGACTTGCCACAGCCTGGCTCTTGTCTGACTTTGTCCTTTGGTGTCTTCTCAGTCCTCTGTCCCCATGTGTAGATGCCTGAAGCCCCGTGCAGCAGCCCTGTGAGAAGCTGCAGCCCAGCCAGGAGGGGCAGGCAGAAAGCTCCGCCCTCCTCGCCCTCCTGCCTAGGCCACAGGGCACTCCTCTGCCTGGACAGCCATCTTCTCACGGTGCTAGGACGTTACTGCATTTSCACGGGCTGGTGGTTCCCGGCACCCTCTAGTCCCGTACACCAGTCCCACCSATGGTCTGCCCCATTTCCTAAGGAACAGGTTCAGAAAAGCCACGAGGACAGGTTGTGAGCCCACATCTATGGCCATCAGCAGGGATGAGCCCTGGTTCCCTGGCGCTGGCTACAGTCAGGGCTGGGTGACTGGCCTGGGCAGTGGGCACCTTGAGGGGCCTCGGAGCAGAATTGGTTGGAAGCAGAGACTCTGGAATCCAGGAGGCCAGGTCTGACCTGGTTCACACAGGACTCTGGGCCAGAAAGCCTCCCTCTTCTTTGGGCAGTCGTCTTCATCGGCATCTGAAGGGAAGGTGGCAGGCGTTTCYCCAAGGCTCCTGGACCCAGCCCCCTTCCTGCTGAGCCCAGCAGTGCTGCAGGCCCCCCGGCCCAGGCTCAGGCCTCCTGCCCACCCAGAAGGGAGGGCAYTCTGCTTGACACCCGCTTGACCTCCTTAGACTTGGACTCTACTACCTTTCTCACCCTGGGTGGTGTGTTAGAATCATGTGGGCAGGCTCAGAGAGCAGGGGCTCCCAGGCCTTACCCCCCGGCCAGTGGGCTGGAACAGGACCCAGGCATGTCTTTAAAGCTCCATAGAAAATGTCCATGTGCAGTCAGGGCTGAGAGCCCCTGGTCTGGTTTTCCAGCTCCAGAACTCTGTGGTTTTTTGAGAGCAAGAAAGGACAGGAGCCAAGGCCACYGTGCTCAAACAGGGATCAGAGGGACCCAACCGAAGTAGCTCCTGCTGGAGCCGTTCCCTGTGACCGCGTCCTCAGTGCCCTGCTGGCCCGCTGTTTTGCATCCTGTGACATGTTCTGGAGCGTCCCAGCTCCCCTGTCCTGGCAGACAGGCAACTCCCCCAGGTTTGCAGAGGAGTGATAGATACATTAGTTCCCATCCCACCCATCCCCCAAGGCATCCAGACGGGGCTCCTGATTAATGATTTGTTAGTCGATTAATCAGTGGCTGCCTTTGAAACCTCATTTCTCAAATGACTTCTCTTTGAACACCAGGYCTTTTTGACATCATCTTACTATCTCCCGATTCACTTTGCTCCTAATTAAAATTCCAAGATATTTCTTCTTGATGTCAGCTTATTGGTATTACTTGTTTATAAAATATTTGCAAACAGATTACTGTTCACCTGTCGTGTGTCAGAGGGAAGCAGCAAAACAATGCTTTATGCTTCTGACTCAAAGGAAATGTGTTGATGACAGCTCAGGGCACCCTCCATCGAGGAGAAAGCTAATTTTTCATTGATTGATTGATTTCCCCCACGCCTACTGGCAGCAAGCTTGGGAGATGTACTTCAACAGAAACACAGGAGGAGCAGGCCTCCAGACGGCGGGGCTCTGCTTCCACAGCAAACTGCTCTCCAGCCACGTGKGTGGTGGGCAAAGGGCTGGGGAGCAAGCTGCTTCTCTTCCTCAGCGGGGAGGGCAGCTGCAGCAGAGGCTCTGGAGCCAGACCCTGGCCTGAGCCCCAGGCCCTCTGCTGGGAGGCCTGGCCTCGGCTGACCTGGTTGTGGAGTGTGGGCGGGGCTGCAGGAATGGAGCCCACAGGAGCACCTGATGGCTCACGCTCTTGTTCATCAGCWGAGCCGGGGGCCTGGCCATTCCCTCCATGTGGAGGCTCAGGGACCAAAGTCCCCCCCTGGCTCCCTCTCCCTGGGGGCCTCGGGCTTGTGAGCACTCAGGCAGGCAGAGAAGAAAGAGCACGGGCAGGGGCTCCACGTCTCCTGTCCTCCTGCCCAGCCCAGCGCATTTCCACCCACGTTCTATGGGAGAGAAGTTAGTCTTGWGACCTCACCKAAGTTCAAGAGGGGGGCGAACAGGTGCAGCAGAGCATCTTCCRAGCCATAAGCCTCCCGTGTTATATCATTTGTTATTAAATGAGGTGATGTGGGGCGTCCCCAGTACCGTGCATGCTGGAGAACTCCACACAGGGCCTTTGCTGTGTATTTTTCAAAATAGTGACAGTCACCATCTCCTTGGTTTGCAGTTTCAAGCCACAGTGGAGGAAGGAGCTGTGGGGGTCATCGTCAATCTGACGGTGGAAGACAAGGACGACCCCACCACCGGCGCGTGGAGGGCTGCCTACACCATCATCAACGGAAACCCAGGGCAGAGCTTCGAGATCCACACCAACCCCCAGACCAACGAGGGCATGCTCTCCGTCGTCAAAGTAAGGCTCTGTGACGCGGCTGCAGGGAGCAGGGAGGGCGGGTGGGACCCCCGAGTCGAGAAGACCATAGACAAAGGCCCACTCTCTTCCTCGAGTTCACAGAGCAAAGGGCTGGTGGCCCTCGGGGGCGGCTGTGCCCTYGGCAACGTAAGCCAGCACCCTGGATCTCCTGTTTTATAGGTTCTGGAAAACCCAAAGTCAGCTGTGACTTTAAGGAAACCAAACTTACACTGAAATGCAGTTCTCAGTAGGTTTGCCCCTGAGTTAGCAAAGGATGGGCCAAAATGGCACCTGCAAAGGCTCTGTAAAGCACTGTGCTCCGAGTGTGAACTGTTGTGTCTCATCTTCATCCTTCTTAGCGAGTCTCCATTATTGTCCTAGAAACAAATGCATGACAGTTCTAAAGGGGAGGGCTTTGGGGAAGCTGCCGGCAACCAGCAGAGCCACCCTCTCTCTGGCTGCCAGTGGAGAGGAAGGAGGAAGAAACACGACCCCAAGAACCAAGCCCTGTGTGTGGTCATGCAGAAGTGTCCCCGCGAGGGATGCTGCACAGAGGGGGCCAGGCGGGTCCCCTCCAGTTTTCAAGCTGCTCCACTGTCTCTGGGAAGTCCCAGGGCCAGTTCCTGCCAGAGCCCAGCCTTCCCCGGAACAGAGTCTCTTTCCTAGTAGAGGCCACCATTGGCCTCCAAAGCAGACAGGAAGTGTATTTGTAGTATTGGCAGAAGCAGCGGGCAGAGCAGAGACCTCGCCCCCAACTCCCTGTGTGCCAGCACATCCGCCTCAGTTTCCCCATCTGCAAAGGAGGGTGGTGATCCATCAGACCTCTTGGGCGGTTGTCTCAGTGCATTGGTAGTGCTTGATGGAAGACCCTCGGCCTGGCCGCGTGTAAGAACAGACATTTACTGCTCACGGTTCTGGAGGCCGGAAGCCCAAGGTCAAGGTGCCACAGACTGTGTCTAGCCAGGGTCTGCTTTCTCCTCGATGGAGCTTCCTGCTCTGCCCTCACATGGTGGAAGAGGCAAGGCCGTCCTCTGGAGCCTTGTGCATCAGGGCACTAATGCCATCGTGACCTAATTACCTACCAGTGTCCCCACCTCCTGATGCCCTTAAACTGGGAAATAGGATTTCAACCTATGAATTTGGGGTGGCCACACACATTCAGTCTATCGTAGTTGTGAGGACTTCAAACGTTAGAATGTAAAATGTTCAGAACGGGGACTACTACTCAGTCTGTGTCAGTTTCCTGCTGCTGCTACAACAGATGGCCACAAATGTGGTGGCAAAATTTTTTTAAAAGCATGCATTTATTATCCTGCAGTTGTGGAGGTCAGAAGTCCAACAAGGGTCCAGATGTGAGCAGGGCTGCTGCCTTGGGAGGCTCCGGGGAGACAGCTCCTTGCCCTTTCCACTTCTAGACCCTGTCCCGGCCAGGCTGCAACCCTAAAGCCCGCAGTGCAGCACCTTCAGATCCCTCTCTGGGGCCTCCACTTCCTCTCTAGCCCTTCCTTTCCCACCACTGAGTCTCCTGCTTCCTCCTCCTTGGCCCTCCTTCCTGGCTCTTCCTCCGACTCTGTGATCCTTTGGGTCCTCTGGACCATCTGCGACAGCCTCTGATCCCCAGGTCTCCGATCCCATCCGTCCTTTTGCCATGTCAGACCCGTGTGCAGGGCTCTGGGGTTGGAGTGTGGAAACCCTGGGGGTCATTCTGCCCTCTGCAGAACCTTATCAACAGCGGCACCAGCTGAGCTCCACACGGTGGCTCCAGGGTCCTGCCCCTGAGAAAGACAGATCTCAGACCCTGTGGCCTCTTCAGGTGCCAACCCCACGCCCTGCCCTTTTCAACCTCTGGCCTTCCCACTTCTCCAGTAACAGACAGCARAGCTGTCAGGATGCGGGGCACATTCAGAGCTGAGACAGAGAGTAGCTCAGCCCGGCCGTCCTCCACGCTTGCCCTCAGGCGACTCCCCAACCCTGCAGAGGACGAAACTCAGGTAGACACCCCCTCCATGGTGATCTGCTCCCCCACGAGTGCTCRCTAGGGCTCCAGGAAACGTTAGCGCAGCGGGAGCAGCGCTCTCTCCCGGCCCTGCCTCGTCCACAGCCAGGCTCTCAAATGGGCCCAAGCAAGAATCCCCCAAAACGCTAGTTCAAGGCAGGCTCCCAGGCAGGTCAGTACGGGGAGAACAGGTGCACCGTGACTCTGAGATTCGTGGGGCACACCCCTTGGTCCCTGGGGGACTCCATCAGCACACTCTCYCTCTCTGCAGACTGTGGCGGGAGGGACCTGCAGGCCATGCTCTCTGATGCCCTCCATCCTGCCCAAGCCTTCATGCATCTGTTAGGAATGCTTTCTGCTGCAAGTTCCAAGATGCCAGACCAAATAGTGCCTTCAGTTATAAACAAAATCCAAGAATTTTCCTAATTGGATAAATGTAGGCCAGTCCAGGATTGACTGGCAGCTCAAAGTGTCAGAGAACCAGAAGAGGGTTACCTTAGTTGCTTTCAGCATTTTCCTCATGAACATAAAATGGCTGCCAAAGACCCAGTCATCATGTCTTCCCTTGGCTATGTCCCCAGAGAGGAAGCAAAGAAACAACCAGACAAATGAGAAAGCATGTTCTCCTATGTCCCTCTCCTCTTGCCAGAGAAGAAAATTCTTCTCCAAGGGTCCCTCGGCCAATTTCCTCTTATGTTTCATTGACAAGGAGCATATATATATCTACCCTTAGTGAAGGCTGAGCAGGTCCAAACCTGGCCTTTTGGCCTCTGCAGTAACAGGTGGGCCAGGGAGAGGGGGTTGGTAATGGCTGGAGGGCGGTCACCATGAGCAGGTCTGCCCTGGCCAATCTGAGGTCCAGCATACGGATGAGCTAACAGGAAGCTGGTGTCTGGGGCGTCCAGCTTCCTGCCCAGGCTGAATCCTGGCAGATGAGAACCTGTTTCCCTTTAAAACCTCTGGYCCAGAGCACCCTGACCTGGTTTGTAGACCTATCCCTGACTGCCCCAAAGCTGTCCTTCCATTGGAGTGGAATCCACCCTGCATTTGAGGTCTATTTGCTTCTCTATCCTCAGAGAAGGAAGCATCCGGAAAGTGCCCTGTCATGGGCTGGGAAAGCACAGTTGCTTCACCTCTGAACCTTCCCCTGCCGGGCAGCCACCTGGGTCCTCCATCCCTCTGAGCGTGGGACGCTAGCACTGCACGCAATAGCTGTAATTATTTATTATGAAAAATAATGTAATGTCTCTAAAATAACTGGCTCGGTCTGCAGGACGYGATTTAGGACTCTTGTGCCACCCTCTCTCTGCCCACTGGCCTGGTCCCTGTGGCTGCCCTTCTGCTGTCCTCCTTAATGGCTGCCAGTCAACCCCCCTGGCTCTCGGGCATCGTGTCCTCCTAGAGAGCAACCCACTGCCTCCTGCACCTGGCCCCAATGAGCTCCCTGCTTGCTTTTCCGTGGACCTGAGAAAATAACCGTCCAAGTGACAAGTTTATCCTGGTCTCACCTAAATGTGTCCCCATGCACTCTCGGTCACCGGAGCCSCATTCTGGAAAATGTCACTCTCACTGCATCGTGGGACTCCTGTGACGTTTGGTCCCCAGGGCTGTSGCAGGGCTGCTGCTTGCGATGGTTTCTTTGTGCATCTGACGCGGCCCACCCAGTCGCCAGGGAGGCGTGTGCCACCAAGGACCTTTGCCCTCCTCAGGGGCAGCCGTCGGCAGTGGGCAGGACCRTCATCACTGTGTAGGGCTCTGCTGGCCTCGCTGTGTGACTGGCCTCTCTGTCCCCTTTCCCAGTAAGTGGTCACAGAGCCCTGGCATCCTGGTGACAGTTGAAAATGTCCCCACACRTTTTCCACACCTCCGAGGGGAAAGGGCCCAGCGTCCTGGCCCACGTGCCCAGATTCTCCGTTCTTTTCCCTCCGGGGCTCCCGAGGAGAGACTGTCACCTGGAGGTGACATAGAGGCCGAGCCTCAGCCTCCAGGGCAAGGGGGAGACGCATTAAGGCAGCCCTGGTTGGCCTGTTGGTTGGGTCCGGTGTGTGATGGAGACGGGCCCTTGCTCTCATTGCCGAGCCCTGCAGGTGTCGGGACTTAGAGGTTACAGGCGGGAAGCTCTCGATGCCTGTGTGGCCCGCGAGCTGCCTGCGGAGGCAGGAGGGAGGCGGGGCCTCAGGCTGGAGACAGCTATGGCCGTTTATTTCTCCATCTGAGCACGTCGCCCCTGCCGACCTCATTTGGCATTTACGTGTTTCATTTTCTTAAARAAGACACCCAAACTGCATAAGACCCAGGCCCCAAAGCCCAGGTCCCTCCCTGCGCTCACAGGATGTGGGGGGCTCTGTGGGGAGCTGTCCACCCTCGCGGCACGTGCAGGTCCTGACCCTCCCGTCTGCCTTCCAGCCCCTGGACTACGAGATCTCCGCCTTCCACACCCTGCTCATCAAAGTGGAGAACGAGGACCCGCTGGTGCCCGACGTCTCCTATGGCCCCAGCTCCACGGCCACCGTCCACATCACCGTCCGGGATGTCAACGAGGGTCCAGTCTTCTCCCCGGATCCCATGATGGTGACCAAGCGGGAGAACATCTCTGTGGGCAGTGTGCTGCTCACGGCCAACGCCACCGACCCGGACTCCTTGCAGCATCAGACCATCAGGTGGGTGTGCGCTCGGGCCTGCAGACGGGCCGCTGGGCCTCTCCTCCCTGCGCGGGAGTTGGTAGCCAGGAGCAAAGYGCCACTAAATGAAGCCTGTGCGTGATCTGGCCAAGCAGGGACAGTGGCAATGAGGAGCCTGTGGCTGGTGGAACCAGGGGACKGGCTCTGTGYGAGCAGAGTCCCCGCCCCTGACTCCAGMACAGGAGGAGATGGYCTCAGGGCTGTGTCCCCASAGGACCACTCAGTTCTGCTGGCACCAGGGCCACTCCCCGAGGGAGAGAAAGGGGCCACGCAGGTGGCACTGCAGGGGCCAGGCCTGCCTTGCCCTCACCCCACTTTGTGAGAACGGCCCCAGGTGCTGCGTTTACCAACAGGACATGGTGAATCCAGACAGGCTCACGACTCGCTCAGGGCAGAGGGGTGGGGCAGAAGGGGGCCATCTGCCACGCCCACAGGCCCCCCCTCCCTGTCTGCTGAACCTTAGTTGATTCCCAGCTGTCAGAGGAAGGCGCAGAGAGGTTGCCTGCTACCTCCAAACGCAGCGCAGCCTTGGGGTCGGCCCCCGGGTTGGAGGCTGGGCAAGGCGGCAGAAATGCCCGTCTTCATTTCTTAGGCTCTGCCTGGTGCTTAGACAGCAGGTGTTTGGTAATGAGATTTAATTAAGTGGTCGTTACTACGGTGTTTTCAATGTCAGCAAATACAAGACGCCCTSGCCGGGACATCTTTTCACAAATCAGCATTTGTGCGGGTCCAAATGTGCGCTTGCCCCTGCCAAAGTTACTGCCTTTCCCTCCCAGATCAGACCTTGGCCTTCTGTCAGCACAAAGGATCAAACACAGACACACCCTGATAAACACGCGTCTGGTTTCCCTGACTTGAATAACCSGGGCACAGTCGCCTGGTCGGCCGCTTTCCTACCACTGAGCGAGCTGCAGGGAAGATGAGTGTCCCAGGCCTGAAGAGCATTTGTCTTTACAAGGAAACTTCCCGAAAGCCAGCTGAACTGGATAAYGGTGCGGAGTAATACCAAAGGCCAAATCCTATAATAACGTGAATCTGAAACAGACGTTATTCCTCCTCGCCCCTCCCCACGGCCTGGTCTCTGGCAAAGGAAACGTGCAATTTAAACATCAAAGAGAAGGTTTCCTAAGCACTTAGGCGCCAGCCTGCAGCCTAATGGACTACTGGACTACTCGGAGCTGGGTGAATGTAGGGCGCCTCCAGGGGGTGAATGTAGGGCAGCTCCAGGGGGTTAACGGTGGTTTGTGTTTCCACAATAGGAGGCGAGCAGGCGATTGGGGGGGGGGGAATGAGTGGAAATGGGGTGGGTGTGGCCAAGCCTGGGCTGTCACGCTGTCACCACTTGGAATACTGCCCAGAGTGGCAGGGTTCACGGGAAGGGGCGGGGTGGGGGGTCTGGGACACAAGCCACAGGTCCCACTGAGGAGCAGGGAGTGGACAGGTGGGTCAGTCKGGTTCCCTGATTGAGACGAGCTCTGGCTCACTTGGAAAAGGGCCAATTGACCAGAAGATTCTAGGATAATGATGAGGAACCAGCTTGAGACAGCACAGGAACCAGGCCACCCCCRAGGCTTCAGGTGACAGGAGCTGACCGGCTGGCACGTCAGGCTCCCACAGGGACAGCAAGCCAGCTCCCGACCTGGCCCACCGTCCACACCAGGGCGAGACTGCAGAGCCGGGGGCCTCCGCTCAGGGCACCTGGACAGAGGGGCCRCCCACCCCAGAGGGCTGGGAGGAGAGAAGGGAGCCCCCCTGCCCAGGCCCCAGGGCTCTTCCTGGCAGGGTGACAGCCACGACATGGAGGACATTCAGCCAGCCCCTGAGCCACGGAGAACGTTGTCCAGTCCCTGGAACTGGGAACACGGGTCCCCACCCTCCCAGTAGAGTGTTGAGAGCTCGTGGGAGGAGGAGTGACCACCCGGTGACTTGTGGGGACGGAGGGAACATGGGRTGTTCTGCAGAGAGCCACATTTCTATAGCAAGCCTGATCCCACAGCAGTGACCCTCAGYCGCAGGCCACCAGGACCCAGCTCAGAGTGACTTACGCCAAACAATGCACCGTGTGGCCCACRTGACCGAAAAGTCCCCAGGGACCAGGGGATCAGTGTGATGGGGTTCRGCTGCTCAGGCCAGGTTCCACCTTCCCGGCTTCTCTCTCCGCCCTCAGCTGTCTGTCCCCCACGTGTCAGTGGGGGGGAGGCCACTGCAGGACCCGTCCCCCATCTGTCTGCAGAAAGAGACATCTCCCTCCCCAGAGTCCAGCAAAGGCCCAGGGGTGGGGCCCATYGAGACAGCTTGGACAGAACCCTGAATGGCAGGATGGACTGCACCGATGGGCAGGTCCTAGAGCTTGGTCCACGGCAGACCCCGGCATCTGCAGTGAGGGCCAGAGCCGTGGCCACCCAGAGAGGGCAGGAGGKCTTCCCCGAAGACGGGAATGGATGCTGAGTCGTCAGGAAGCACTGGTGTGATCTTGGGCACTGAGTGTGATCTTGGGCACCTGCTACAAACACAGTCGCGGTGCTTCTGTGGGGCCGGTGCACCAAGGGCCTTATCTTGCCACAGCCTGAGGGACGAGCGCCCATCCCCTTACAGGGCAAACCTGGGTGTCCTCTGTGTGCGGTGTGTCAGAGACACACGTCTCTCCTGGCCCAACCTCAGAGTCATAGCTCCTGAGTCCTCTCTGGCTGGACCTCCCCTCCCCTCC